CCTCATTTTGATGCTCGTAGCTCTTCCCGTACTTTGTTGGTGATACGCTTCACCACCATACAGGCCCTTGAGCGGAGGTTTACTTGGTCTTGCTCTAGCCCAATGTTACGGCATTTCAGATGTGGTTGAGAAATGGTGCACTTCGGGCGATGAGTCGAAGGTACTCGAAAGAATTTTCAACACAGTGAAATTAACACTTTCAACAGGAGATGCGACACATAAAGATGTAATGATTTACTTTCTCCACTTTGGTCTACTCGTTGTTCTTACCAACTACATTTTTGAGGTATTGGCAGTATTCTCGCCAGCTTTACTCAAAAGGATCGTCCAAGTAGCTCGTGGAAAACAAAATCCTCAGCAGAGAGTTCTACATGGAAAGGTAAACATTTTTTTTTGTGTGGGCTTCATTTAACTTCGTTTCTATTGTTTTGATTCACCTGGGCGGCTTGCTATGGTAAGCTAAACGCTGCGGCCATATCATTCTCTTGTAAGGTCACAACTTACAGCGGCATAGTTCATAAAGCAACTGTTCCCACTCACTGAATTCATTGGGCACCGTTTGGTTTTATCCTTTTCTTGTGCCAAAATCCGTCCTTTTTGTTACGTCATACGGTGAAGTTGTCATATCACACGGTACTCCTTAGTAATGGTTTCTTCCAAGGACGCGTCTTGCTGTCAGCTCTCTTTGGGGGTTTGTTTTCATCATTTTGAACAACTAGCGCAAGCTTGCTGACCTTCAAGGATTTAATGTTCATTTGACCTACCAAGATATAGCATCTATTCTGTTCCTTTGATTTCTGTATGTATTTTCCTGTTTAAACGCAAAATTCAAGCCTTATGGCCTCAAAATTCCAATGATCATCATCAATCCATGCCCACTCCATTCTCTACATACAGTACTGTGCCATACTTTGAGAATGCAGTTTTCAATTCTTTAACTTCACTAGAGACAGATACAGTTTTGGCATTTCGAAATAGTTCTCAGTAATGGTGTAGGTATAATATTCAGGCACCTAGTAGATTGGAAGTAACCTCTCCAAGTTCATTTGTCTACGACGAAATACTCACCTCTGACACTTTTTTTAAAATTTTTCCTAGCAATAAGAGGTTCTTTTTTGGTCTGATATTCCTGGAAATCGCGGTACACCTAAAAGCCCTGACGGCGACATTCTCCTTGATGAATAGCGGAGCATTATTTTTCATCTAGGAATTTTTCATTTTTCGTCCTCCTTGCAATCGTCTTAAGTGAGCATGTAAGTTTTTATTTACAGAAGGATGTATTTTGATCTGTTAACTAAAGGTATGGTGTATAGCAAGCAACTCAAACCCTCGAGCCGTTTTGTGGGTTCTTTTTGCTATTCGGGGATGGCTTTTTCGTTGAATGGGAATCAAAGCTCTCAGAGAAATTCACGGAAAGGCTGTGGCACATAGCTGTATCTATGGTTTGCGGAAGGATTGCTCAGAGAGACTTGAAATTTTTTCTTTTCCAACTTGTTGACTTGAATTTTTCACATTCTGAATTTTTTTCCGTAATTCTGAATGGGAAGTCAATGGCTGGGTGCCAACCACTCTTTTACAGCGCTGTTGATATGCAGAAAATAGGTTATTCGGACAGGTTGCATATATTACTTTGTTAGGTTGTAACTGCTTGAATAGAATTCATGAAGTCGCAACCTCATGATGCTTCGTTAGATTTTTGTTAAAGCACTTCATTTGGTTCGATAATTCTTAATTATGGTTCGGAAGAGTAAAGAGAAAGGCGTTCTCCAGCTTGGCACACTGTCTAAGACTTTTCAGGTGTCCCTATGATTCTGATTAAGGCTCAAACCTTTTATGTAACGGATGATCCTACCATCTTGTCCTTTCACTCTGGATTTCAGAAGGAGAAAATATATCTTACTTTATTGAAAACAGAAGTGAAAATGAAAGAATATTTTACAAGATCCAATATACATAAATTTTGACTAGTCATCGAAGAATTTGTCGACCATCTGCTTCTCATGCAACAATTGTATGCATTCTTCGGGCACTGTAAAAAGAGATATGACTTCTTATTTCTCTACNATAAATTTTGACTAGTCATCGAAGAATTTGTCGACCATCTGCTTCTCATGCAACAATTGTATGCATTCTTCGGGCACTGTAAAAAGAGATGACTTCTTATTTCTCTACCGCTCTTTTAATGTAAAAACTCATCTGCAAATCGATGTTGCAAAATTAATTGGCTCCGAAATTCTACTTACTCTTTTTACATTGTTGCTTGAGTTCTTCATTTTCTACGCAATACTCAGTTGCCTTGTCACAATCTAATTTACAAATATCCAAGGTCGGAATCCACATTGGATCAGCGAAGGGATCTCCACCTAAATAATCAACTTTTATATTTTTAATTTAAAGTTTTGATCCTATCGTAGAGCGGTGATGGTGTAGTTACAAGAGGTACCATAACTAAAGCCTGACTTCGTAGGTGACCGCTCGCATATTCATGTCGGTCTTTTTCGAAGATTCGCATTTTTCATTTTTTTGTAGGTTGTCCTACTGATCATTTTCGAGTTGACGAGTGTCATTCTAGAGCCCATAAATCGTTCAATGCGCCACTTGGAGGTTTCAGGATTCTTTCAGAGCGCTCAAAATATCGAGGGAATTTGTCTGTCTGACGAATAACCGCTGTAATGAGCTGGGGTCCTATTGAGCTCGGAAAAG